GTTCTAGGTAATACATTGGTTTTTGTGTCCATTGTTGTTAAGCTGGTTTTTTGTTTTGTTTATTTTTCCGATTTACCCCTTTAAGGACCAAACTTCTGGAATAAAAGGGAATCATGACATGTCACACACGTCATGTGTCCTTAAGGGGTTAAAAGGTGTAACTTTTCATCAATGTTAATTCTGAATCTAAATCTCAACCATGAATTTCTAACAGTTTTACTATTTCAGTAATATATATTCAGGAAAGCAACTGCTAGATCACCTACATACAGATAAACATTATGATCATGTCTGACGCCTAATTAGATAAGTGAAGTGGTTGATATGAAACAAAGAGAAATGTTATCCTAATAAACCATTGTGAATATATTTGCATGATGTCTGCAACTGAATTGGTAAGGAAGAGCCAACCTGAATTGTATCCAAGAAAAGAACACATTTGTCCTAACAAACTTTGTTGGAAAATGTGATATCTAAAGCCACTGCTCAAATACAAAAAAAATTAAAAATTTATTTTTAGTAGACATATCTCAGACATCTCAAATGAAATAATGCAAACATTCAATTATGCATTTTTTCATTGGGGGTATATGTAAAACAGCTTGCAAAAGCTACTGATCTCTTGTCTGCAGCCTTTGCAAGCCCTCCCCTTCTAACCCCGCCCAGACTTTCTGTGGCTGTCCAATCACAGACTTCCCAATGCAGCACAATGAGAAGTCTTTGCAAGGCAGGTGCTCTATGTAATTGCTGCCTCTTGAGTTCAGATCCACGTTCAGAGCTAACGAAACTTGGAAGTAACATTACCTGTTGTCTGCTTGAAATCCATAGGGGGTGTAACCAGATTAGTTTATAAAGGTGCCAATTTCTATTGAAACTGCACTTTTTGTGTAAAATTAGCAACAGAGGACACACTCTTCACACATAAAGCATTTAGAAAAGCCAAAGTGCTTTAGGGGTCCAGAGTGTAATGTGCCCCGAGTAAAACACACTGTAACGGATCGACTGGCACCCCGACTGGGCACCTCCGTTGAAGGATGCTCCTAGCACTTCCTGAGGACTCCAAGCACTGCAGCAGACACCAAAACCACCAAACCGTAGGAGCATATGAATGCTCTCAAGCATATGAATGCTGTAGACAGTTGAATAGGAACCATATGAATAGGTTTACTCTCCTAGCAGTCAAACTGGAACAGCATACAATAAATCCTTCCCCCAATAATGAGACGACACTTCACTTTGAGGGTTAAAACAGGAACTTCCTGTACTGTCACATACAGTCTCTTTTATTCCCAAATCACAAACATAGTACAGCCCACAGGGCGTTACAAAACAACCAATCACATATCAGTTACATCCCACATATTCCCTCCCCTTATCCTGAGAGGAAACTCAATTACACATACAGTTAAAACATACTTTCTACCCAACTTTCATAACTCTAAAACCATACATCACATTCACATAAAATTACATATTCACAATCAATCCATTCAGGGGAACAACATATTCAAAAATGGCACAAATCAGACAAGGGGTTCAAAAGTTAGTAAAAAGTCCTTTGTGACTAAATGAAGCATGGCTTTCTGGCCCAAACCAGTTTCAGAGTCTTCTATCCTGGAGATAAGTAATTCAATTATCTCCCAGGACAGACACAAGACTCCATTAAGCACATGGTTGCAAAAAGACACAAAACACTTTAAAATACATAAAGTCACCTTACACATAACACACAGACATTTCACATATCCCCAGATAGCTGGGATCTGAGTGCACATTATTAGATGAATGGCACTCAGATCACACAAATAAGCCTTTCTGCAGGGGAAATAAACGGTTTAACCTGCAGGGCCATTGTCCAAAGGGAGCAGGCGAGCAACCAGGCTTCTCCAGTTCACAGTGGCGAGGTTGGTTTCGCCACACACACAACTGTCCTAAATTACCCTGTTAGGTTGATATCTGCAACTGAAGTGACAGAGACAAGTCACCAGCGAAATAAAAGAGTTTGGATCCTAATGAATTTTCATGAATATTTTTGCATGTTTGGGCTTCTTAACTCCCGAGATATGGCTTTGTATAACTTTTATTTACAGCTGAATATTACAATATGATACAGTGCTGCACATATAAACTGTACGTGCAATTATGTAGTCAGATTTTAGTGCTGAAAATTAATTGGCACAAGTTCAGTAACCTTAGCTTGTACATTTTGCTGGCGTCAAAATAAATCTATACTATTCTATTAATCATTCAGAACCCATTTTATTAAGTTGTTTTTAACACTAGAGTGTTGCATGTATCACAATGATTTCTGTATATGGTAAACGTCCTCATTCACTTGCCCCTCGTGTCTTTACCATATTCCCGTTCAAATTTAAATTTGGCCGCCGTGAAGATCAGCTGTCTCCACTCAGAGTATTTTTGTATCTGGAAGCATCTACGCTTCTGATTAATGGACGTGTTTCCACATTCACGTCTCCGTGTTTGGTTAACCCCCTTCTCATACTTGAATAATTCTTGTTCAACCTTTCTCACACCATTTTCCTCTATTGATCCAGCAGATCCACGAAACCCAACAAAGCGGAATTCTACTGCAACAAACAGGGAAAATAAATCTTGCGTGCAAAAGGTAATCTGATATCTGCTCAAATCACCTAGCTGTTACTAATGCTTATATTAATGGTAGAGACAGAAACATGTTGTTTTGATAAATTATATATAGAGTTGTGTAACTGAAACTCAGTTGCAGAATTACAGCCCAGCCTCGTGAGTCTCCACTTTCAAGGAAGCTCTGTTGATCAGGGACATGCTTCCAAGATATTTGTGGTAGCATTGGGACTAAAAAAGGAGGATATGAATAGCTGGAACTGGAAGTCTGGAACCAAGGTAGGCCAAAGCACTGGACTTATAAAATTGTGAAGAAGGGTCTTTGTCAGATAGGTCTCTGGGTCAGGGCAGGCAGTGAGAGTTTGTAGCCCAGAAGACAACACAGGAGACAGAAAACCAGAAAAGAACTATGAGAGCAGTAAGTGCAGGAGCGACTATGGAAATGGAAGAAGGATGCAAGGCTAGAGTACAGAACATTGGGATTAAGGCAATACAGCAACTGAAAATTGAGCACTGTTTGAAGCATGTTTGAGGTTTTATAAGCACAGCTGATATACTAGTGGAGCAACCTTGATGCCTGAGGCTCTGACATCATTTGACATGTATATGCAAACTCTAACACTTAATCAATGCAGCACTGATACTCAGCACTAAAAGTCAGGTAACGAAAGTATCAGTGTCTCAAAAATAGGGGAGCCTGATCCATTTTTCTAAACTCATCAACAGTAGTAAATAAAACACCTCTTTTAGCAGATAATTTAATATATTAATTGTTCTTCCCCTAAAGAATACTTATTGTACATAACATCTTGTTTTCTTAAGTCACAACGAGTAATATCTAGCATTTTGTACAGTGATGTTAACGAGCAGATCATCAGAAAAATCTTTGTATTGGTATTTTACGATGTTTAAATTTAACCATACATACAAATATAAAACAGAAATATTCACATTAAAGGAACACTGTAGTGCTGGCATAGATGTTTAGGTGACCAGCCACCCTTTCTGTGCAGTTTAAAGGTGATTAACCTTTCTCTTCTCCATCGTTGTGACAGTATCGCCATGGGTGCCCCGCCTCCGTGGCTGAGATCATCTATCTTGATGAACTCAACCAATCCAAAGCTTTCCTATAGGAAAGCATTGGGAGACTATTGTGCATGCGCTGCAAGACACCACTCTGCTCCATATCGCATTTCCTCATAGAGATGCATTGAACCAATGCGTCTCTTCGGGGAGCATTCAACGGTGTGTATGGTAAGACTATGGGAAGCCTTCTAGAAACCTCATATTCAATAAAAAGTCATAGGCATCTTTTTAGATACCTGTTCCCACAAACCATTGCAAGTGATGGCTGATGGGAAATGACATCATCAAATGGGGAGGCTGAATGCCAAAAGATTAGAGCATATATAAGACAAACACGATTATTTACTAAAGTGAATTCAAAGTTAATTTCAAATTTAAGTAAAAAAAAATGCAAACTACAAACAGAATTGATCTGCATAATGTTTAGCTATTTTGGCAAAAAGTTCAACATTTTCTTTCTATTTCCGACAGTTTTAGTGACTAACTCTCAAAGTAGTCTCTAATTTGACATTGTTTGACTGCGTTGGAATGCCCATGACGTTTCAATGCAATATATGCATTTTTCATAAATACTCTGGGTTTTCTTTTGTAAATATTATATATTTTTAAAAAACATAACATTTCCATAAGCCATTGTTCAATTTTTAAATCACAAGAATATTTGTAATAACGGAAAGGTCTGATATCACTATGGTATACTATAATGTTAATAGCCATTCAAAAGCATTTATATGCAGTACAGCTTTCTGGGAACTTCAGCTACCACTGGGAACAATCCCCTCAATTGCACCACGCTCAACTAGACTTTAACTATTAGAATGTCCTTTAGACTGGTAACACAAAGTCTCAGAGAATCAAAATGTTCTACTAATATTAAAAGCATCAGGAGGTAATAACAATTCCATGATAGCTTATTCCAAGTGCACTAATACTTATTCTTGAATCACAGGTCATCATTTATTATATATTTTTGTTGTTTTATGTACAAGTGCCCAGTCATGGTAATATAACATTGTACATGTAGATCTTTAACGTCTTACGAGAGTGCTCATTTTGGAAACCATGGTGTTCATTGTGTGCTTGATTTTACTATTCAAATTTAGTCTTTGTATAATGAGGTCTCACTCCATAAACCTTTTTTTTTCTGATGACCTTAAGTATAATTTATTATAGTATAACTTATTATGTTATAGTATGAAATGGAAATCAATTAATAATATTGATTTATTATGTGTATCTGCCCCTGGCCAAATTGAAGAAGAAGTGCGTGCACGCTCCTGAAGTAATTTCACACCGGACACAAGTTTCTGGTTGATGAAAAACGTAGGAATGTTTATTCAGAGGGGACGGCAAGTCCCTTTTAAAGCAGGATTACATCATATGCATTGTCAGAGATAACATAAAATAATACATCATTAATTGGTTAGGTGCTAAGTGGTTCTTCTAATGCTCTGCCCACAGGAGTTGATGTCACTGGTATCATGAGGGTCTCCCCCAGATTCCAGCGCCATCTTGTTACACGAGGTAGTTAGTCAATGTTAGAGGGGAAACTCCTCAGCAGCCATTTTAGTTAATCACATGAGAATTGACTAATACTGATTGTAATTATTCTGAGTAAATAGGCATTTTACTAATAAAAAACTTAATTAATATTTCTGTCCACAACATAGTATCATTTATTCTATTATATAAATTGAGCCACCCTTTCTAATTTAGATATTTCCAAAACTGAAAATACTTTTCTCCCCATTGCAATTTAATTACCCTTAATTGTTTACATTTATTACAATTAAAATATAAAATTGAGTTTCATAACTCCAGGTCTCCTCCATGAATGGCAATAGCAAGCATATCTGCTATTTATGCATTTAGGCGTTGCTTCTGTTGAACCAAAGTACGTAAACTGCAGCGTTCATTGAAGAGCCTCTTCCACTCCTAATTGTCTGCGTCATTCTGGATGCACATTTTTAGTCTCATCCCTTCATTTGCATCAAAAATAATACGGAGGAAGGATTGATTTTTACGTTCACATTTTACTCAATGTTATTTTATCATTGAGTTGGTAATATTAATCATTACCATTTTATTATAACAGACTGTAAAAATGACGCATTACAGTATTTTCTTTAACAAAATTTTGATTTGCATTTGACTCGACTCCTATTTTTGACGCTAGGTGCATGCGCAAGTGACGCAGAATTATGACATCAGGACCTGTTCCTATTTAAACTTGTTTCACCTTGGGTTTGGCACCCTTTCGTGGCTCTTCAACCCTTCAGTGGGTTTGTGATTTTTATTTTTTTTGGTATTCCCAGTGTTGGTATGACCCAGTTTGTTCCTGACCTGCAGCCGCCCAAAGCTGCTAGTCTGTATCGCTTACTCATGGCTGTTCACTAAATGAGTGAGAATTGTTAGGAATCCAAAGTGAATTTAAAATTTAAGGCAAAAATAATCAAACTGGAAAAATTCTCCAAAACAGCTGTTAAAAATGCTTTAAATTCCCAACAGTTCTGACTATAGTAAATAACCCAGTGTCTTTTTCAGTCCATCTGTATGTTTTTCCGCATGTGTGTCCCTTCCACAATCAGCTTATTTCACCCAGTCTGCCTGTCTAAGCTTGCCTTCCAGTCTTCCTCAAGCTCTTTGGGGTCAATACTTCAAATTCCAAATTGTAAAATATGAATAGCATATGGCAGATTCTGACCATCAAGCAGAGCAGTCGCATAAACCCAGAGCTCCGTGCAATCAACCAATTTTAAAACAATTTACAGTTTATCTGCTGGGCTGATCAGGGTTCATACTGTGGTGGTGCTGGATGGACTGTCTTGCAGCCTAGGTGGTGGTGCGGGGGCGAAAGAAAATTGGCCGATCTTCCAGCCCAATGTTCCCTTAAATTCTGACACTACCGCAGGGGGCGTGGCTCGACCGCCGAACGAGATGGCCGCTTAGGCAGAGAGCTCTGCACCCGGAACGGTCCGCAACGCACAGCCAGAAGCACACATCCGACCACAGCCTCTGCAACTCACCCGGCGAGAGAGAGGGGGAGAACCGGAGATGGCACAGTATAAAAAAACCGGTAAGAAGCCGCGGGAGAGCACCCCTTCTGTAGCCGATCTCCTCACCACACCTAGGCCGCAAGCGCCTAAAGATGGCGGCGGTCAGGAGAGCGCGAACTGCCCGAGCCCACAGAGCACCAGTGACTGGTCAGCCCTGTCACAGCAGGCTACCACCTCTGATATACTGCACTCACTGGCAGAAGTAAAACATTACCTGGCAGGGGAGATAGAGAGATCAGCCCGCGAAGTCAAGGCAGAGATACAAACAGTAGGGCAGCGCACAGAGGCACTAGAATGGAGAATGGATCACGTGGTGACGGCCCATAATGAAGCAGCCTCAGCCACCAACACCCTAATGGCAAAAGTGGCAGAGCTAGAGGCAGAAATCAAAGATGCATCCAACAGGTCACGCAGAAACAATTTGAGAATTAAAGGTTTGCCTGAAAAGATTAAAGATACAGACCTACAGATGGTGCTAACCGCTCTATTTAAAGAACAACTGCCAGCTATACCGGAAAACTTGTGGGTGGTCGACAGGGCACACAGGGCGCTGAGAGCCCGTGGACCACCCAACGGGCCACCGAGAGACGTAATTATGCGGTGGCATTTTTTCTCCACCAAGGAGGCTATACTTAAAAGTGCCAGACACCACACCTATGCCATAGATGGCGCTACATTACACCTATTCCAAGACATAGCGCCAGCCACGCTTGCCAGACGCAGAGAATGGAAGCCCATTGCAGACCTAATCAGAGCAAAAGGCCTTAACTTTGCATGGGGCCACCCCTTTAAAATGCTGGTATTCAATGGACCCAGACCTGCGGTGCTACTACCCACGGCGGACCCCAGAGCCTTCCTCCACGAGATAGGAGTTGAGGTCCCGGCGGACTTCCACCTCCCTCAAAGGGGCACCCAAGCGTTGGGTACCATACCTAGAGAAGGGGCAGCGATCGAAGGTAACGCGCCTCATAGACAGTAAAACAAACCCTTGCTCCAATGCACAACAATGAAAAGAGACGCAAGGCCAGCAGATGACATCCCACTCAAAGAAACCTACAGCTCTAGAGGCACAGGAGACCAAAACCCTGACAGCACCATTCACAGACAAACTTACCTTAAAACTGACGGGAAGGGCAACACAAACAGCAAGAAAACCCAGGAAAACATACGAAAAACCGAATAACTAATTACTTAAAAAACAAAAAACAAAATAAAAACAAAAAAACAAATACAAAAAAAAACAAAAAAACAAAACAAAAAAAAAACAGCTAATGCCGATACAGAATTAGTAATGACGACAAAGGAGGTGCGCTGTGGCGCAGCCCTATCCCTCGCCCTAACATATGCAGAAAACGCAGCACAAGACGTCTAAGAAGAACTCCACTCTAACCATATAAAGGAAGAGATCACAGAACCACAGAGGTAAACAGGTCTGAAAAGGCTCACAGACGCACGGCAAAGAACCCCATGGGAGAGGCTATTTGCGCATGACATCCCACATGGACATACACAACAGCTACATGAGCTGGGGACAAAGGAGCATCACCAACTGACATCTACACAGAGGATCAAGTCACCCTAGATATCGGCCCTAGAAAATCGACGCCAAAGACGACCCGAAGCTAAAGACAAGACCCTACTAAAGCCAAGCCTATAGACTCAAATGGACTTTGTCAACCGGCAGGAGAGCAACTAATAACCAGCCAGAAAGAGCGACAGACCTGGTGTCCCTGGGAGCGCACCTTATGGACTTGCTAAAGACGGGGGCGCCTACCACGATTTCGCCCGGATACGCAAGTTTATACTTCTTATTGTACACTATCAAGCACACGGGGGGAGGACAGGGGGGGTGGCTCATTGTGCAATAGAAACGCGGGATACAGAGTCCAGCATGGGGACACCCGTCCCATATCTTAAAAGACACCACACATAGGGACTTAGGCCCCCCCCCCCTGCTCATCCCAGGTACTCCCGCGCCACTTCCAGACACTGAAACAGATTAGGGGCTACGACTAGGCAGCCATCAACAGCGCTAGGGTAAAAAATCCCACCCATACATGGGAAGTCGGGCGGCAAGGGAACACCGGGTCTACAGGATAGTAAGCAGGAGGGCGAGGAAAAGGAAAGAAGGAGAGAAAAAAAAAATAAATAAATAAAAAAAAACACAAAACCCCTGCACAACACAGGTGTCGCAGAGATAGTCAGTAGCGGATAGCCTACGCTAACACAACCAAAAGGGACAGAGGGAAGGGGTATTGTACTATGGTGCACTGTATTGTATTATATTGTGGTTTTCCTGTGCCTTCATTCAAGCTGGGATGTTTGATATAATTAATGTTGTTTTGTAAATATGTATGAGACGTGACACACTCGGGCGAACAGACCCACTGACCTCGCAGAGACTGGACTTTCGGGTGAGAAATGACCGACCCTAGCGGACAGACTCCAGGGTGCTTGGCGGATGACTGCCCCCTCCGTGCCTATACACTTCGCCGCGGAGCGGGTGGCCACCCCCGAGATACCCGGCACACCTGGATAAGACCGGGACAGTTTTCTTCCCCACTACTTCCCAAATTAAAGTAGCTTCCCCCGCTACCTCACCCCCCCCCACCCGTCTCCCACCGCCCCTCCCCATCATCCCCCTTCCCCGCCCCCACCCAAGGGCCAGCAAGGGCCGCAAACCCACAAGGCCTTAACGGGGCGCACGGCAGGACGGTCTCAGACAAGGAGCGCGGGGGGATAGGTGAGACTCCACAGAACCACACACTATGGCGACCTTAAAAATCACCTCCCTGAACGTAAATGGATTAAACACCCCGACCAAAAGACGTTTACTGATGAGGGAAGTTAAAAGACAAAAAACTGACATAGCATTTATACAGGAAACGCACCTCCTGCGGTCAGCCCGGATCCAACTAACAGACCATCTATATACCAGGGCATACTCCTCCAGGGCACTGGCCAAAAAAACGGAGTAGAAATACTTCTACATAAAAAATGCCCGTTCGCGGTCCAGACGACGCACACGGACACTATGGGAAGGTACGTTGTCCTCACGGGGACTATACATGCCACCACGTACCACCTGATCAATATATACGCACCTAACCAGCCAGACCCGGAATTCTGGGAAACGCTCCATAATTTAATCCACACCCTTAAGGGAAATAAAGCCCCGGGGCCGGACGGCTTCGACGGCTCCTATTATAAAACATTTAGAGAAGTGATAACTCCGAGACTGACGAAGATGTACAATGAATGGATGGACGGTGGACATCCAAACCCGGACATGCTCACAGCTGACATCGCACTTATACCCAAACCAGGGCGGGACTCAACCGAAGCAGCAAATTATAGGCCCATCTCCCTAATAAATTTTGATGTAAAAATCTTTGCAAAAATACTGGCAACAAGATTAAACCCCCTCCTAGGTAAAATAGTACACCCAGACCAGGTCGGCTTTGTGCCGGCTAGGCAACTATATGAAAACACTAGGAGAGGGGCTGATCTCATATGGTGGGCGACCCGGACCCGGACGCCTTCTCTGATCCTTTCCCTGGACGCGGAGAAGGCGTTCGATAGGGTGCAATGGTGCTACCTTTTTGCGCTACTAGAACGCCTACACATGCCAGAAAACTTTGTTAAAGGCATAAAAGCCCTATACACTGACCCGAGGGCCCAGACCAACGTACAGGGAGCAACCCCGACCCCATTTACGCCCGCCAACGGCACGAGACAGGGCTGCCCCCTCTCCCCTTTGCTGTTCGTCCTCTCGTTGGAGCCTCTCTTGCAGAGGATACGGGAGGACGAGCACATAACCGGGGTCAAGGCGAGGGACGAAGAATTTAAAGTCTCCGCATACGCGGATGATGTCCTGGTCACGATCACCAACCCGAGAGAATCCTTGCCCCGACTTATGACCCTCCTAGAGGAATACAGACGCATCACAGGCTATCAAATAAATTTGGAAAAATCGGTGGCCATGCCAATAGAAATGGATGCAGACAGCGTTAACGACATTAAAAACGCCTATCCCTTCAAACTTACGAGATCCGAAATTAAATGTCTCGGCGTTAAACTCACCTCAGACCCGGCGAAACTATATAGTGCCAATTACCCACCTACAATCCAGGCGCTTTGTCGTGACTTGGAAAAATGGCATGAAAAGCCCATATCGTGGATTGGCAGACAACACGCAATTAAAATGACACTACTCCCACGACTATTGTTCTTATTCCAGGCCCTACCCACCAAAGTCACTAAACAAGACCTGCAGATGATCCAGAAACACATAGATAACTTCATTTGGGCGCAGAAAAGACACAGGATTGCTAGACGAGTAATGTACCGACCGAAGGCGAAGGGTGGACTGGGACTCCCACTCTTATATCAATACTACCTGGCGGCGCAACTAGCCCAAATAATAGCATGGCACACCCCGGAGGGCTCGCACAGGTGGGTAGACCTAGAGACAAAACTTATGTGTACGGACCTCCCACAATTTTGGATCTGGGTACCCAAACAAGACAGACCCCCCCTACGCACCTCTTGTCCGGCGATCCTTAATTCCATAAGGATCTGGGATCTAACAGCCACCAAATACGCACTAAAACACACACCCTCGCCACTGACTCCATACTTACGGAACAAAGCATTCGAACCCGGGCTGACCGCACGAGATTTTAGGGGGATAGAAGACACAGGAATGCAATGATACGGACATATGTATGACGGCGATTCCTTCAAAACCTTTGACACCCTAAAAGCCATGGCCCCCCTGACAACCAAAGACGTATTCAGATATGTACAGTTGAGAGACTTTGCCAAAAACCCAGATATTAAAAAAGCAGCACAGACCCCTATGACAAATTTCGAACAAATGTGCAACGCGGAATCTACACAAAAGGGACTGATCACGGCCATATATGCGCAGTTGAGTTCCCCAGAAAAGGGAACCGCAGACCCTAGATATATACACCAGTGGGAGGAGGACCTAGGGGGGGCTATAGAAGGGGAGGACTGGGTGGATATCTGGGAAGCGACGGCCAAGACGTCAATTTGTGTACTACACCAAGAACAATTCTATAAAATGCTCATGAGGTGGTACACAACACCGGTACAACTCCATAAGATGGGAAAAACCACGACAGACACATGCTGGAAAGGCTGCGGAGGCAAAGGCACCTTTGTTCACATGTGGTGGGAGTGCCCTGAAGTGACCAAATACTGGAAAAGGGTCCAAACATTAGTGAAAGAGGTTCTCACGCGACATATAGACTTAGATCCCTGGGCGATGCTACTGTCCCGACCAACGGACGGCCTTCCTAGGAAGGAGCAACAACTTTTAAATAAACTCACACTGGCTGCGAGACGAGCCCTCGCGCAAATGTGGCTTCAACCCACAGTCCCCACAGACAACGACGTGACAGTTAAAATCAAAGACTCCTATTTGATGGACAAACTCACAGCACAAATCAGAAATACGGAAAAAGCATTCCAAAAAATCTGGCTTCCCTGGGAAGCGTACGCTAACGAAAATGTTATATAGCCTGGAAAAGGTTCGCAGTGGTATGGCGGACCTCCTCCCGCCGTGCGCCCCCGAAATATACCAACTATTTCCTTTCCCCCTCCTGCTCCATCCCCACAGCACCGGTTGGTGGCCCCCCCCCCCCATCTCCCCAACTTTTCAAACCACTGAATATACGAGACTCCAAAACTTAGGACAGCCGGCTGACATGACCGCCGGGAGACGCAGTCGACAAAGACCCAAACCAAGACGCAACGGCTAGACGGAAATTGATTGTGTAAGACTGAGGGTTTTTAGGATGTCTCAATGTTAAATACACTGTAAAGTACTAGTTTTTGTTCACGTTTGATAAAAGGTCCTGAACGGACCCAAAACCGAAAACAGGCACCACACGGTCCACGATAACCAGACCATCCGACAAACCTTTTACTCTTCATTGTATAACTCACTGCAATGTATGTTACATATGGACCCCTGCGAGGGCCACTTTTTGCTGGTCAGTGGTACTTGGTGTCGAACTAAAAATAAAGAATTTAAAAAAAAAAAATTCTGACACTACCGCAGATAATCTACTGTCCTCCCTCCTCCCCCACACCCCTGGCACCAGCAGTATATCGTACACAGATATTGACTCCCACGGAACATCTCGGCAACCTGCCTTGACAGAAGCCATCCTCCCTCATTTTGCGGGCGCAATGCATGTATCAGCAAGCTCCTTAACCTTCCGCAGCCTGGCAACGTGCACTCTGACCAACCTGGAGGAGATATATGCTGCCTTCTGGTCCAAGCTCCACATAGGAATGCAGACCTCAAGGCCTGCTAAGCACATTGCTTCTTTGTCTCCACAGCCGGGTGCCTTACGCTCCAGAAATGACAGCAGCATGGCAATCGCCAGCAGTCCACAAGGGCGGCTTCACAGGCTGAAACGGAGGGCTCGTCTCGCACGCTGCCTAGACCTTCAGATCAAGAAGACATGACTCCGGATCAAGCAAGTGAAAATCTGCACTTCTGCACTGCCCACAACCCACTAGATGCACTAATCCTTGTCGACACCTTCACATTGCCTGTTACCTGGCACCAACTGGGCCTCTAGCATCCAAGATACCTCCTACTCTGAAGGACTGTGTTTGATGTCCAGACGGGATTGGATACTTGTGACCATGATGGGTCTCTCAGGTGTACCATACCACGGATGGGTCCCCTATCATAATCTTGAAACTCTGCTGTGTTTTGTTTTTTTATAGGTGAATCGTAAGTAAGCTTATATCTGGAGCTTTTAGCATGTAACGTGTTCATATCTGTGTTTCCACCAAATTTCCTTTTATTATCACATTCTTAAAATTGTGCAGTTGTCTCCATGCCATACTAATGTTTTCATATGTTTGACAATACCATGCTTGTGTTCGCTGTTGTGGCGTCATAAGCCTTCATGTAACATTATGCACAACAACAAGAAAAGAATTCTAAAAGAAAGTAAAAATATATGAATGGTAAAATTCAGACAAGAATAATGCGTATTATATTAATATAATCATTATAATATAATTAAAATATTTTTTGACATTTGTATTTTATCGCACTCGACTTTGAGTTTAGTGAATAAACTCTTCTGGAATGCCAGGAAAGCAATGCAGTAACAGGGTTTAAGAGGGTAAGGGGGCAGCATTTTGACCTTATTCCTAGGTAGCACCATGTCTTAGGCCAGTTGTAAGAGCGAGCATATGACTTCACATCTCCAGTCAACCACATGGGACACAGCTCCATATTGCAGAGTTCTGATGGAGTGTGCTTACACTCAGACCTAATCGACTTTGCTACCAAAGAAAAGTTAAGGACACAATGTAATTTAGGTCAGGGACACAAGGAGGGGTGAAGGTATGCATAATGTGTCACAACAGAGAGTTACAATGGAGGGATAAAGGCAGGGAGACATAAATGTTGGTTGTGGGCAGATTGACGTAAGTGTGCATGAGGTAATATGGGCAGAGGGACACAAGTGTGGGTTGGATAAACAAAAAGAGCAAGGTGGAGAAAAATACAAGGGCATAAATAGGGTAAAATGCTTTAGTAGGGAATGATGGGTAAAAGCCAACACAATGCACAAACACACTAAACACCCCAAATTGTAGCAAATTTGAATACATTATTGCAAAAGTAATGCTCAAATTTCAAAGTCATGACTTTAAAGGGAAACTATAGTGCTAGGAAAGCAAAGTTGTTTTCCTTGCACTATTTTGACCTACAATGCCCCACTGCCCCCCCCCCTCCCACTTCCTCCCGCACCCCCACCACTCCCAGCCCATTGCCGATGGTGGCGATGGAACAGTTGATAAACCCTGTGCCAATGTCCCTACGAGCTGTGTCAGGCTCCATGTCCGCTCCTCCACTGCCGCCATCAGGCGGTGGGGGGACCTAATGTGCCGCACTTGCATTAGGACTACCCGATAGGCAAGCATTGCTCAATGATGCTAGATGTCTTCAGACAAACGTCAGACAGTCACTAAAGGTGGAGTTAACCCTGCAAGGTAATTATTGCAGTTTATCAACTGAAAAATAACTGAAATAATTACAATTGCAGGGTTAAGAATGGACACTGCACCCAGACCACTTCGATAAACTGAAGTAATCTGGGTGCCTATAGGGTCCCATTAACTAAGTTGGAGAATGCCTCCAAATCTTCTGTATTTCCCTTAATTTGTCATTTTGGAATTGAAATTATTACAATTTGAGGTTTAGCTGTGACAGTAATTTGCATTCTACGAGTTGTTTGTCTCTCTTTTTTTTTAAATAAGCCGCACTGTGAATAATTCTATAGTACCCCTCCTGAAATTAGGCTCTGGATCCGTCCCTAAATAGCACCATAAGTACTACATTCTCATAAAATGGTTAGAGTGTCTAGAGCTGAAAAAAAAAAACAGAAATAAAAAAGTCTGTAAACAACAGAGCAACAGCAAAGTAGTCTAGGCACTCAAGGTCTTCATATATCAGAAGATGTATTGGAAAAACAGGACAGATACAGCAACGTTTTGATACCTTAAGCCAGGCTTCCCCAAACTCTGGCCCTCCAGATGTTGCTGAACTACAACTCCCATGATTCTATGAATAAAATATATAGGCTGAGAATCATGGAAGTTGTAGTTCAGCAACATCTGGAGGGCCGGAGTTTGGGGAAGCCTGGCTTAAGCGATCTTTATCAAGTTGAAGATCCCTGAAGGGATTGAAATGTTGCTGTAACTGTCATCTTTTTCCAATAAATCTGCCTGGACTACTTTGCTGTTACTATATGGATTAGGGGTTTGCCAGCCCTAGGTACAGTGCACCAAGGTCTACAGGTGATGAGAGTGCAGATCCCTCCTTTTTTTTTGCTATCTGTAAACCAGGGAGCAGCATCAAAATAAACTACCCAAAGGTCAGCAGAGGCACCAACAACACAGTGGTCAAGGAAGCCAAGGTCAGGGCACTAGCGAATACCAAAATAAATGAGAAACTAGCAGGGCTATTTAGTAAATTAAGAATTCAAAGTGCATTTAAAATCTAAGGCCAGATTAGCCAAACTTACTGTATAGCTGATTTTTCAGGTTCAGCTATTTTAACCTTAAATTAGAAATTCACTTTGAATTTCCAGCAATACTCAGTTTGGTGAATAAGCCTTCAGGCGAACTCATTATGCTCAAGAAACACGAGTGAAAGGTTTTTTAAAGTCATGTAAGGACACAAACAAGGACAAAATAGGGTTTATACAGACCCTCAGAAGCTGTTCACAGTAATAAACGTGTGTGAAGATATGTAGCTTTGTTGTTGTTGTTTTGCAAATAGCTGTTGCATTTGATTGACACGTATTGGCTGGTGTATCAAAGCAAGAGCTATAAAATGATAGGTTTAATATGTGCCCAGCGTGGCATAATCTGAGAGAATTAAATGATGTAGTTCTAGCATGTTATTATAATGATACATTTTTCTTGTCAGCTTTAGGGTTATTTAATAAAGTGAGAATTGTGGGGGATTCAAAGTTAATTTACATTCCAGAATGTTTCTCTAGTGCTCTGTTTCTAGGGACACAAAAGAAAAATTGCAATCTGAGCAGTTTTCAATTTATCACAACTCACTGTTTAGTAAATAAACCCCACATGATAAAATTTTCCACAGAAATAACAACGAAGTCACTGCATTCAAGGAAATGTACAGTGTCCTGCGACATAGTCAGCAAGTGTTTATTTTGACTTAATTTCCCTTTACTCGAGGGCTGCAGGTGGATCATAAGAAAAAGTAATTACCTATTAGAATGCCTTGTGACTGTTAGAGTGCATCATAGGTAACAGGAACAGATTTTATTCCTCTTAGGCATCAGTATTCATCGGTTTCAGTGGGACCGGTTTCGGGAGGCAGCTCCAGAGGCGGCGCAGACTGGAACCCCGTGCCTGTCATATTTATGGAACCTTGTTTCAGACATCTGAAGCGCTTGATCTGGGGGTCCTTGTCAGAGTCTACGTGGAAGGCACATAGGTATATCTGGGGTTGTTGGTCCCTGGGTGGGTCCAAGGATGAAAGACTGGAAGAAGGGTTTTGGTCCCGATAGGCGTCGGCATATTACGGGCCCAGAGTTGGAGCTTGATGGAGTTCCTACTGCAGGTTTGCTTCTTGGCTTATGAGGTTCTACTGGTTTACTGTTTTGCATGGCATTTTCCTTATGTTTTTTCAGTGCCCTTCACATAGGGGGGACTGGTAGCCTCTAGGGCTAGCTCTATGGCTCTATAGCTCTATGGCAGCTCTTTTGCTGTCTGACGTCTCGGTGTCCTCGCAGGGCGTTGTGTTGTTAATTCGTTGATCGAAGACAGATCAGCAAGGCATGTGTGCTCTGGTATGTATTGGCCAGTTTGTTAGGTCTCCCTTCAGAAGCACGGAAGCGTTTGGGAATCGGGTCGTTTTCAGCTTTATGTTTAACCGCATTTGCTGTATTGTCCTGTTTGTATTTGTTTCTAATTTCTATCTTTTGTTCTTGTGTTTACCAATATGTCTGGATTTTGGGTCATTCATATGTGTACTAGGCAGCTAGGAGGGTGGAATAGAGACCCTGTGGCCTTAATTTGGGCTTCCTGTACAAAGCGGTTAGGGTACGTTGGCTGGGGTTAAGTTGGGATCAGCTTTATTCAGAGTGCGCTCAGGACCAGTTTACGTTTATTTTACATGTGGTTGGGAATGATATTGGCCGACGACGGTCGATCTCATTTATGAAATGCGGCATGATATGGCAAGCTGTTTTGCGCTATTTCATGACTTGGCTCTTATCTGGTCGGAAATAGTGTCCTACCCCATCTGGAGACTAGGGGAAAATAGTACGGCTCTAGAGCGATGTAGGCATAAGGTCAATATGACCATATTGTGCTTTGTCAGGAGGCTAGGGAGAATCGGGGTTAGACTTTTTGAGCTGGAGGGGAGAACATGAATGCTATGTGACGGGATGGGTTTTCATTTAGCGCCTTTTGGACTGGATATCTTTAATGTTGGGTTGCAGTCTGGCATTGACGTTCCGCTGTCTGCAGGGGGCAGAGGTGCAGGCCAGCGTTGCATCGCGCATGATAGGGCAACATCGGGGTGGTGGTATTCCTGGACAGCGCAGCCGAAGAAAGGAGTAAGACACAGAATCACCTCGGGGAGACTACAGTCTGCACAGGGCTGATGACTAGTGACGGCTGTGTTGGCCTCTTGGAGAGAAGGTTGGAGAACTGTCTGTTGGGCTCTCACCAAACAGCTGACAGGGTTTACGAACATTGTGTTATGGTTTAATAAAGCTGTGGCGGTTACCCTTATCCACTTAAAAGGTGTTCTGCGTGTTATTGGGGGCAACAGTGGGTTGGAGGTATGGGTCAGCAGTCAAAAATTTACTGTTTAGTAAATAAACCCCACAGAGTAAAATTTTCCACAGAAGACTTAACAGCATAGTCACTGCATTCAAGGAAATGTACAGTATGCTGCAACAGAGTCAGCAAGTGTTTATTTTGACTTAATTTCCTTTAACTCGAGGACTGCAGCTGCAGGTGGATCATAAGAAAAAGTAATTACCTTTTAGAATTCCTTGTGACTGTTAGAGTGCAACATAGGTAACAGGAACAGATTTTATACCCTTTAACAATCAGTATTAGGTGATGCATGCTTTATTACAGTTGCAGAGGAGGGGGTTCTCATTTTAAACTACAATCCAATATTTAGTAAAAAAAAAAATGTGTTTGTCCGGCATTCAAAGCAAATTAACACTGAATTTGAAATGTTAGGCTACAGTAGCCAAACATGGAAAAGTGTAAACTGTAGAGATTCAGGTGAATATGATAGGCCTTGGGAGAGAAATGTATTAATGGGGTCCTGTCCTGCTCTCCCGATTTGTTTCCATGGTGTCCCGCATCCAGAGACATCAGGAAACTGTTCTTCAGCAGCACAATGCTGTGCAGTGGGCAACAGGACCATGTGGAGAGCACTTCAGCAGTGCACTCTGCAAGGTCCTGCTGGTTGGGGGCCAGGCACACAGGCCCCCCCCCGCCAGTCTTTCAGCAGGCAGGCCTGACTCTTTTTCCAATCTCCCAATATTAGGAAGTATGCTAACTCAAAGGGGGCTTTTATGGGGTGCGGTTTTCATTTACATCGCAACGTAATAAAAAATTAATTTTGAATATATTCATTCTAAAACAAATTTAAGTGTATGTACACTGAAGTCAGAGATGGTGTGTTAGTTAAAGGACCACTCTAGGCACCCAGACCACTTCAGCTTAATGAAGTGGTCTGGGTGCCAGGTCCAGCTAGGGTTAACCCATTTTTTATGAATGGGTTAAGCCTTCCCCTATTTCCTCTAGTGGCTGTCTCATTGACAGCCACTAGAGGCGCTTGCGTGCTTCTCACTGTGATTTTCACAGTGAGAGCACGCCAGCGTCCATAGGAAAGCATTATGAATGCTTTTCTATGTGACCGGCTGAATGCGCGCGCAGCTCTTGCCGCGCGTGCGCATTCAGCCGACGGGGAGGAGAAGAGGAGGATCGGAGGAGGAGAGCTCCCCGCCCAGCGCTGGAAAAAGGTAAGTTTTACCCCCTTTCCCCTTTCCAGAGCCGGGCGGGAGGGGGTCCCTGAGGGTGGGGGCACCCTCAGGGCACTATAGTGCCAGGAAAACGAGTATGTTTTCCTGGCACTATAGTGGTCCTTTAATAAAGACTATAAAAGAGCAGAAATGTTAAATAACTATTTTTCCTTAGTAAATCATAAAGGAGGCACCTATGGCAAATGATTGCTGCAAAAAAACCTGAAAAAAAAAAATTTGATTGGTTAATTCTAGACAAGGTGTTACAGCAACTAAAGAAAATTAAAGGGAGACTCCAGTGCCAGGAAAACAATCCGTTTTCCTGGCACTGCAGGCCTCCTCTCCCTCCCAACCCCCAATCGCCGGTTGCTGAAGAGGTGAAAACATGTCCCACGTCGCTGCTTCTTCCTCCTCCGCCGCCGCTCCTCCCAGTGATTGCGTCGGCCAGTGGGCTTTGTGTGAAGAGTGTATGCTCTTTTTTAATTTTGCAACAAGTGCAGATTTCTATAGAAATTTACACCTTTTTTTTAAAATTAACCTGGTAACTTCCCTTTGGTTTTCAAGCAGACAACAGGTAATGTTACTTCCTGGTTCAAGAGGCAGCAATTGCTTAAAGCACCTGACTTAAAAAGACTTCTCATTAAGCTGCATTGGGAAGTCTGTGATTGGACGGTCACAGAAAGTCTGGGCGGGGTTAGAAGAGGAGGGCTTGCAAAGGCTGCAGACAAGAGAACTGGAGACCTTAACCATAGACTGTAAGCTGTTTTTAGACATACACCAAGTGAAAAAAAATACATAATTAAATGCATGCACGTTTTCATTTGGGGTACATTTACTAAACAGTGATTTATATTTATCTTGTATTATTTTGTAGTGTCCCTTTAATGTAAACAAAACTCTGGGGCCTGTTCTTCACCCACCAGTACTTAAGGGCCTATATTGGGAAATAAGTGAAGTTATTTTATTAATCTTTCAAGATTCTTTTCTTTCAGGAATTGTACTGGAGGAATGGAGGAAGGTAGGTATGATTCCTATATTCAAAAAGGATTCAAAAATATTTGCCTGGAAATTAAAGGCCTGCATGCTTAACTACTGTGGCTAGGAAAGTATTTGAAGGGTTAGTAAAGGATGATTTTCAGGATTCCATTGGGAAGAACATTATTATTAGTAAAAAAAAAAAAAAGAAAAAAAAAGAAATCAGCATGGTGTTTATGAAACATAGGTCATGTCAAACTAACTTAATTGCATTCTGCGAAAAGGTACGTAGAAGTATAGAACAGGGTGTTGTGGTGGATGTGATCTACTTGGATTTTGATAAGGCATTCAATATGGTCCACACAATAGGTTATTGTTCAGATAGCAATAACAATAAAAATAGTAATAAAATAAATTGGTCCGTATGAAAATTCTTCAGTAGAAGATTGGCTTAACGTACAGAGAGTTGTCATTAATGGTACATTTTCAAGCTGGACAGAGGTGGTAAGTAGTGTTCCTCAGGGTTCTGTCCTGCACTTAGTCTATTCAATATATTTATACATTATCTGTAAATAAGCATTAAAGGCATGGTTCAGTGTTTGCAGATGACACAAAACTCTGTAAAGTGATGCAATGTGAGCAGAATATTACTTCGGTACAGTGAGATTTAGATAGACTGAGGGACTGGGCACTCAAATGGCAGATGACATTTAATGTAGAAAAATGCAAAGTTATGCACTTTGGGGTAAATAAAGCACACCCGTACACCCTAATTAATAGTGGTTTATGGGAAACAATACATGAGTAGGATTTGGGAATTGTTATAGACCACAAACTAGGCAACAATGTACAATGCCAATCAGCAGTTGCTAAGGCCAGTAAGGTATTGACATATATAAAAAGGGAAATTAATACAACTTTGCCTCTTTATAAATTACTGCTTAGACCACATCTTGAATATGCTGTGCAATTTTGGGCACCTGTTCTAAAGAAGGGTATTATGGCACTAGGAAAAGTGCAGATGTGGGCTACAAAATTAGTAAAAGGAATGGAACCTCATAATTGTTAAGGCAGATTAACAAATTTAAATCTGTTTAGTTTAGAAAAACTGCATCTCAGAGAGGATGTAATTACATTATACAAATTTGTTCAGAGCAAACACAAACCATTGTTTGGAAATCTATTTATAAACAGGACTATACACAGGACACAAAGTCACACATTTAGACTGGAAGAAATGAGATTTAGTGTAAGGCAAAGGAAACTTTAAGAAAAGGAATTCTCTGCCTTAAGATGTGGTTTTATCAGAGTCTATACAGATGTTTAAACAGCAGCTGGATGGATATTTGCAAAAACATAATATTCAGGGATATCATTTTTAATTTGTGGGGTAAGAGCTTCTTGATCCAAGGAGAGATCTGACTGGCATATTCGGGTGAAGAACAAATTTTTTTGTAGTTTGTTGCAAAATTGGAAAGTGCTTCAAATTGGGTTTTTTGCCTTCTATTGGACCAACAGCAGAAACAGATGTAAGTAAGGCTAAACTTGATGGATGCAGGTCTCTTGACTGGCAAAACATGCTTTACAACAACCAAATAACTGACCCAAACCCTCTTGCCACCTTGAAATAAAAACCTCACCCCGAATATAAGGGAGAAAGGGTTGGCCACAGCTTTATTTACCATTAGAAGAACCACCCTAAATGTCCATTCATGGCTGTAAGGGCATCGGCCCCCAGGCAGGTGTTATTTACCAGAGTTCATTTGCTGCTCGATTCCCACAGCAGGAACCCACTCTCCCAATGTTCGGGCTTGATCTATCCGTTTTAGCCAGGCACTGGCCAGGGTACCTTGCGATGCTGTGACAATAACTGCAAAAGGGTACACAAACACCACAACCAAAAAAAAGAAGGCGAGAAGAGAAAAAAGGAGAAGGAAGAGAGGGGAAAGAAAAAGAGCAGGAAAAGAAAAGGAAATAAAGGAAGGGAGGGGGTGGGGGATTTGAAAAGGAGGAAGCGTGGTAAGTTCCAACAAGTTACACTTTCTTTGAAACATAATTAACCAATCCGTAACGGCCTTCTAGACCTGTCCTTGGACCAGCATGCAATGCAGTCATGGCCCGTGTCACCTAAACGGTGCCCTGCGCTGTCTTTTCAGCAAATGTAGCTATGCAGGTATGGAAAGAAAAGGGTTAATTTGATCCACACCTAATATGCAGTCAGATGTCACTAATTTTATTAACTATATAGTTTAGCAATGATGACCATTCTGACTAATAAACTGTAATATGCCCCTCTTTTCTCATTATTCACTCCCTATCATAATAGTCATATTATGTCACATTGTTTGTTTTTTTTTTGAATACTGGTAAATAATGACATGAGATAGCCTGTGAACCTTCTAAATTAACTAACCATAAAAACCCTTTTAAAAGTATTAACTCTTTAACGTACCTTTTTAACAATTTTATTGGACAAAGAAATACACCTGTAAATTTAAGGACGTGAGGGAGGGTGTGGCCAGGGCACGGACTGTTCTGAATTTTTTTTGCTACTTACTAATAACCATTTATGCAACTAAAAATGTAATTTAGAACAAGAACAATGCATCTTATTTACCCAGCTGGCTTGCTTTCGAAACACATTTATTGTAGTTTAAAGACACATTACGGGGAGTATTATTGCTGTACAGTTCTGTTATACACTCAGCCACACCAACAATATGGATTTCCTAGAATAGAAGAACATAAGGATTAGGAGAGGAATTTGGGTCAAAAATAGGGACTTTTCCGAATAAACAGGGACACTTTGGGGTGGTATGTTTTGACATTGTGTGTAGGAAGCAGAGGGTTGGAGAATAGATCCATTCAGATAATGTGTGGGGAACGAGAGGAGTTAGATCTGACTCCCCAGTCATTGTGGTGTTGCTTTCATATCACAATGTTTTACGTTTTATTCAAGATGTGAAAGTTAAAACATATTTTAAAGGAGCCGATTATCTTCTCCTAATTGTTTTAAAATAATTACATTTAATCAAGAATGTTCAAAAACATCAAATGAAAAACTGAAATATATAACATACTTAATGTGAATTTCCATACTTTTCTTAATAATTCATAACCGATTTCTTCTGAGAAATTGCTTGTTTGTATACTGTTAAAGGTGAAGCGAGGTGACTAGGTCTTCCCAGTGATTTTGACTGCAAAATGTTGTATTATTGGAAGGGACAAAGTAGACACTCAGGCCAATTCATTTCGATGAACACATTTTTTTTAGAGGTATTTATTTAATAAAATGCGTGGGAACCAAGTGACAAATGCCCAATAAGGCACTATAAATGGAAAAACACTGTAATAAAAAAAAGGGTTGGAGTAACCCTATTATAAATCTTGAGAAATAACATATTGATTAAGGAAGCTTCTTAATTTGCAATCCCACCAGACCCCTTGGAAGCCACCCTCCTCCAACACTAAGATAGGCAAAGAGGAGGCTGGCTAAAATAGAACTTTAAGTGTTAAAAATACAAATATGTATTGCTAGTCTTACATATTCCTTCTGCGCTTATTCGCAGTACCCCTCTTTCTACATCATGAAATCAGCCGATGGGGAGACCTAATGCGCATGCATGACAAGCACTAGGCCTTAACCATAGAAAAGCATTGCCTCAATGCTTTCCTGTGGGATTTCTTCTGACACTATATGTCCCCATGCAAAGCGTAATGACGTACAGTGTTGTTTTACAGATTCAAACTCTGTGAAACTCCAGGAAGCGCCTCCAGAGGCAGTCTTAGTACTGTAAAACTGCAATGTTTTATATTGCAGGACTAAGGGAAACAGGAGCAGGACACCCAGACCACTTCAATGAGATGAAGTGGTCTGGGTACCCATAGTGTCCTTTTAATTTTTGTGTGTGCACCAGACTTTATATGTTTATAGTCAGTATGTATGTTGCATTGTGTATCTTTGTGTGTCAGTGTGCATATGCTTTTGCATTTGTCTGTATTTTTGTCT